CTCTGTCAAAATCACAATCTGAAGTACCAGCTATGTTCCAGGCCCGGTGCTCCCATAAATATATCAAATGACTCATCCATGGGGCAGCTAGAAGGCTCAGTGGATAGAGCCCTGGGCCTAGAATCAGGAGGACCTGAGTTCAAATCTGGCCTTACACACTTACTAGCTGTGTGACCTAGGGCAAATCACTTAACCTCTGTTTGCCCTAATCCACTAGAGAAGGAAATGACAAACCACTCCAGTATCTCTGCCAAGAAAACCCATGGACAGGATGGTCCATGGGGTCACAAAGGGTCAAAGGTGAATGAACAACTCATCCATAATTTATAGTCAATTTGAAGGATGAAGAATAATGAGCAAAATTAAATCTTAAGATTCTCTCACCACATTGTTTTTCACAAGGTTTCTTCTATTCTTGAGGCTCCCTGTGCCCTGTGGACAGAGGATATTTCTTATTTGGGGATGGAATAAATAGCACATCACTTCCCACATAAACTGCATTCCGCATGAGTAATGCTGCCTAGCAGCCTCAGGCATGTTCGGCTCCCACAGACCTTATCCACACCCGGTGGATGGAAGCAGCCCCCTTACTGGTACAGGGAGCAAATCAATATAACTATAATAGCTAACATTTCTATGTGAAAAGCAGCTTAGCTTACTTAATGGAGAGAGAGTTGAACTGGATGCTAGGGAAACCTGAGTCAATTCCCACCCCGTCACATCCTGGCTGTGTAATCAAGGGCAAGTCAAGCCCTCAGACAGCCCTGGAAGAAGATGAGCTGCACAGGTGCCCAACTACACTGATAGAAGAGAAGTTCCTCCCCTGGGAGTTCCTGAGAGCGATGGAATCATTGCTCTGGTCCCCATCCCCATCTCCCTCCCTAATATTTATATAACACCTCAGGATTTGCAAAGCACATCATTCCATTTCAAGCTTGCAACAATCCTATGAAGATAACTCCAGATGATGATAGAAACTCGAAAGACTAAAGTGACTTGCTCAAGGTCACCCAGTAATAGAAGCAGGGTGATAAGGTTCTTGAACTTGGCAACAGGAACCCTGGATTTGAATCCTGGATTTAATACTTATAAGGTCTGGATCTTAGCCAAATTACTAAATCTTTCTGAATCTCAGTTTCCACATCTGTAAAATGGGGATAATAATAGCACCTACCTAATAAGTGCCTTGTGAGGAGCAAGTGAGATTATAATAATCTAATTTACACATATATACACATATGTATATATAAATAAATAGATAAACTGTACTATATATGTATATTGTGTGTACATATATGTATGTATTATGTATTCGTGTATATGTATATATGTGTGTATATACATATATACACCCTCACATATATATACACTCACACACACACACACACACATATATACACATATACTTTGCAAGGATATATAACATATAAACTAACATCCCTGTTAGGGCTGCTGTGGAGACAGTGCTTTGTCAAGGTTAAAACACTCTAAAAAGGAGTTCTTGTCATTATTTTCCCTTTTACCCTTTTACTGGCTAGCAAAGGATTTTACACACACATGTGTATATAGATGAGTAGATGTGCATATGTCTGGATGTGTGTGTGTTTGTGTGTGTATATCCCAGGGCTTGTGATGTGAATATAAATGCCAGCACTCCTCTGGAACTGGCAGGGGCTTTAGAGACCACTTAAAGAAGCCCTTCCTTTACAGACGAGGAAACAGAGACCCAGAGAGGTTAAGTAATGCACTGAACATCGCCCGTGGAGCAAGAGACCAAGGCGGGATTTGAACCCAGGTCCTCTAACCTCCAATTGCCATGGCTGAAGAAATCAGGACTGCACAGCCACCTTGGTGATGTGACCCTTCCCACTGTGCCTGTCTTGTCCTCATACAGCAGACCATTGCTGTCCATCCAGGAGCAGAACTCCAAGCCTTTCCAGCCTGCTAGGACCCGCTACAGCTCATCTTCAGTGTCCAGGCCTTTGATGATCAGTCACCCCCTCACCACGGAATCGTCAGAATAGGACTTCAGTGGGCATTCTGCCCTTAGGAGACACTTTAATTTGAATCTGAGCACCGAGAGAAAAGGAATCCCCTTCTTCTGTCCCCACCCCCAAGCTATCATCCTGAAATGTGTAACAATTCTCAGAGACCACAAAGTGTGCTAATTCTCACACACAGGATGAATTATTCTACAGCTGCCTCCTGGGACTCTCCCTGGGGCCAACCTTTTGGCCAAGTAACTGCTCATTAGCACCTCCCCCAGATCACAGGCAGCTGAGATAAAAGCTGAAACTTCAATTAACCATTTAATTACTTATTAGTGTCTCTGATTAAAAAAAAAGTTTCAGATAGCCGAAGGTCCTCGCTATTGATCACTAGATTGGGGGATAATTTGTGAGTTTCTTTCACTCGGAAGAGTTTGTCCTCAAAAGCCTCCTTCCATTTATCAGAATATTTACATTCAGATATTTCCTTTGAACTTTTCAACATCTGCAGTCTGATATCTTATTTGTTTCTTACCACAAAAGGTATGTGTGTGAGCAGAATATTTATATTATTTGCATTATTATGCCCAATTGATAGAAGGTTATCTGGGCCCCTTAAAAATATACTGAAACAAACAAATTAACAAACGAATGAATAAGTGATAGACAAATAAATAAATGAATAAGTAAATGGACAAATAGAAAAATAAACAAATGACTAAGTAGGTAGACAGATTCATAGAGAGGTAGCTGAATGAATGAATGGATGAATGAATGAATGTGTAAACGCTCCGGGCCTCAGATTCCTCATGTGCCTTTATGAAATACTTAAGTGGAATGTGCTGTCTCCAGAAATGGTGGGCACTTTCACTTGGGGTCTTGAAGCAAAATTTAGATGTCTATTTTCTAAGTGTACTGATCCTTCTTCAGGTAGTGCTTAGACTGGGCAGTTTCTGGGGTCCCTTCCAACTGAGATTCTGGCATTCTGAAGTAAGTGGGTCAAGTACGCACAGCTAATGATGGCAGGCACAAAGATAGAACCCAGGTCTCCTGATCAGTTTCTCAAACACTTTCCAGTCCATTTCTCTGGTTATTAGATGGGTTAGTAGATAAAAGATTTGAAATTGGGGAGATGTGGGTCCAAACCCTACCTCAAAATCTAGTTCTCTTAGGCTCAGTTTCCTCATCTGTAACAAGGGCGTAATAATGGCACCTACAGTCATACGGCTGTTGTGAAGTTCAAATGACATAGTATGTTTAAAGCAATTTGAAGACCTTAAAGTAGACTATGTAATTCTTAACTATTGTTATTGAACCATGTTGAGTCATTTAAGACACTTACCTTCAGTTTAATTCAGGAAACACTGAACACATTACTGTTTAACCTGAGCCTCCAGGGGAAAACCAAGCAAACTCAGTGTAAGTAATTCAGCAGCCTCCTCCAGTCCAAAGCATGGATTTCCATCCACTTTGCCCACATGAATTGGAAGAGTACAGTTTATGGTTCACCTTTGACACCCAACTCTGCAGTCATTGATAAGGGACCATCATTTCCTTGAATATGTGCAGTTGGGAGTGAGCAGGAAGTGAGTCATCATTCATTTATTTGGGTTTCATACTTGACTTCTTTCCTTGGCATTTTGACTTTCAGTTTCTGAAAAATGACCAGCCAGAAACCACAGCTGGGGGCAATGACTGGGCAAATCAGACTCTGATGACTTTTCCCACTTGTCATGGGCCAGGTCACAGTGGGGACAAAAGAGAAGGAACTCTGGATGTAATGTACCTAACAGCTACTTCCTACTGACACAACTCAGAGCTCGGGCACATGCCTTTCCTGGGTGAGAAATACAGCCATGTGCTAAAGTGCCAGCCAAACGTGGATGCTTCTCCATTGGCAAGAAATCTTGTCCACACCTTCATTCGGAACTATAAAAGTTTGCCAAGACAAATAGTACAGTAAATTTTCCTTTTCTCATTCTTTGTTGACATAAGAGATTTCTTGTTTTTTGAGTTCCCAACCAAGTATGCCATTACCTTTCTTCACATTTCTTCACAGAGTCTACTTGGCATCAGTCTCAGAAGCTGAATTCTTGAATACTGGGGGACTTTTTTTTTCATTACAACTCCAGAAATATGACTTAAGAAACATTCAACCTGGAATGCCCTACGAGTGAGAGACTGAGGATGTCATGGCAGGAAAGTCCAGAATGATGCTTGCTAAATTGCCAAGGGAATGATGTGAATGCTTTAAATGCTTTGCCAAATTACCTAAACTTGGCACACTTTATCAGCTTCATGTCTCAGGAGATGATGCTTTCTGTGGAATTCTGAGAAGCAGAGAAAGGAGTGGCCTCTTATTAAAAAAAAACAAACAAACCAACAGACAGACAAAACCCCAACTAGAGTCTTGGCCAATGTATTGCATAGTTCTTTCTCAGGCTTCCTCTGTACCAAGAGATGAAATATCAGAGGAAGAAGAAAACATTTTTAAAGAGTTACTTTTGTGATGTCTTGGATACAGAGGCATCTTAGCTAATGAAACAAGTTTCAGAACAATTACAACATAAAAAAATACTAAGTATTTATATAAATAGGTCCATTAGGCAATGTTTACCCACTGAGAGCTATGGGTGGGAAAATTTTTAACAGCCATAAAAATTTTCAAGTCTAAAAATCAAAAAAAAAGTTTTTAAGCTAAGATAAATAAAATATAGTTAACTTTCCCTATCTGTGAAGTATTGCGGTTGGCTTCAATGAAAATAAATGACTAGATGTACCAAAGTATGATATTTTTATTGGAGTGAGCACTACAAAATGAAAATGAAATTTAGACATCAGTTTAAATAGTTCATGATTCTTGAATAGAGTAACTAGGACAGGGTGATTGGGGCTTTCTCTCAGGGTGCGGGATTTAGAGGGTACCAACAACATTTTCTTTTTCTTTTTGGCTAGGCAATGGGGTTAAGTGACTTGCCCAGGGTCATACAGCTAATAAGTGTTATGTGTCTGAGGTTGGATTTGAACTCAGGTCCTTCTGAATCCAGGATCGGTGCTCTATCCACTGCCCCACCTAGCTGCCCCCTCTAGCAACATTTTCAGTCCAGTTCAGCTCAGTTCAATTCAACAATAAGTTACTAAATGCTTTGTATGGGCCAGGTGCTATGTCAGGTACTGGGGGCAATAAAGACAAAAATATAACACCCCTTCAGGAACTTACATTCAAGTTGACATTCTCCTATACCTTAGCAAAAGAGAAACAGAAATTTAGCACTTAGTTATCAAGGACAAGGAGTTAAAATAGAAAACTACCAGATGGTGGACTAGTTATATGTCCCAGGCCCAGTTTCTGGTCCTTGCTCTAGGTACAAAATGACCTCCCTGTGGTCTCTACCCTTGAATGTTTCTTGTATGCACATCCTACTTGATGACTTCATTCAAAGTCCATGATCCCTACAGGAGCCAGGGAATAGAAACCACATCAGAGCTGGCCATCCTTGAAAGAGCTTCAGACTACCTGACATAGGGAGGCCAGGAGGCCCTTCTTGAAGCCCATCTCAAAGATTTCAGAAGTCTGATCAAAGGGATATCGTCAGAGGCCCATAGATTCTTCTGGTAAATCATCGTTCTTAAGAGCCATCAACCAATTGTAATAGCCCACCCTTGACCCTCCTCCTGGGGCACCAGTCCTAGCCTGGCAGGACCTGGGACATGATTTGAATTATAGCCATTGGAGATGGGCAGTAATAAGATGTTTTCCATGCTCTGACATTTTTCATCCCCACCCTCCCTGAAACAGAATCTTCTGAGGAACTCAAGTCAGAGCCATAAGCTTCTCTTTATTCCCCTGATGCCTTAAGAATGCAATTTTTGCTGCTATTAACTGAAATAAAAGAAGGGCACTGTCCTTTAAAATGCAGCCAATTTAGTGATTTAATTGATTTTCATAACGAAAATTAAATCTATTTCAAATTCAACATGTGCAAAAAGTAGATTTGGTCATGCTCAAAATAGCTGTACATTTTCTAAACTTATCTTTTCCATTCCATCACTGTACTCACAGGTAGATGCAAAAGAGGGCTATTGAAATGACAGTAGCGTGTTTTTGCAGTTTTGATATGTGGACATCTCTAGAGGTAATAAATTTGGGACAATTGTCCTGTCAGTTCCCAATTCTCAGATGCTTCTTTGTTACATGAGTGAATTCAGGATGCATGTCTAGCATAGGTAACTATTTCTTTGTTCCTGGGCATCTGTGAATGTGGTTCAAGAATGAATTTTCATTTTCTATTAAGCAGATGAAATGCCTTATTTCTTACTTTTTTTGCTGCCTGGCTAACCGAAATGGGTCAGATCACTAAATATTGTCATTGTTAATAAAAATCTCATTGCTGTAAATATAGGAAATGATAAAAATATGTTGGCACCATGAGTGAATGTCACCTGGTCTTGATCTTACCATATGGACCCCATTTTCCCATGGGAATTACCAAAGGAGAAAGACCTCCCGAACCCATGCATTAAGGCTATATGCCTTGATGCTTAGATCTGGCTTTACCAGGGCAAGGATTAAAGTTAGATCTAGTGATGCACTTTCTTTCTCTATAGTCCTTGTTAAGGTTTTGCAAAACTGATAATTTTGACAATTATCCATGACAATTAATTTGCCAATTAAATCCATGTTGGATTTAAGGATGAAAGAGGGAATCAGAAAGCAAATTCTCAAAAAGATGATGTCGGATAAACCTCCTACCTTTCTAAACTCCTTCAAGACTCACATATGGTAACTAAAACCCCTGCTCTTTAAGCACTGGGAAAAGAGTTTGTCTTGACATGTTTCCAGATGTTTTCTGTTTCTTTTTCTTTTCAAGGGTTATAGAAACTATTGTAGATTATACAGTGTAACTTTAGAGACATACTTAGTGGTTACTGTAATATTAGCTTACCAATGCACATAAAATGTCAATTTAAAGAGTTCAAGTTTAACATCTATTTGGTATATTACATCTACATATCTATCCATTGATCGATCTATCTATCCATCCATCTGTTCTTCTGTTGAATGATTGAAGGGGATGTTGTTACATATAAACCTCAGCTGTCTGACTTTTTGGAAAAGCTCACTGCATTCTTTGTGCTTTTACTAGTAAGCTAAATAACTTTGCTGGTTGTAGCATTTTGGTAGGGTCTCCACACAGCCAGAATCTGGCATCTTAGCTCTGAAACCCCAGAGGCTGATAATTACCTCATTGTGGGCTGAATAAGCCCTGGGAAAACCAGTCCATGAAACCCAGGGACTGACATGAAAGAATATCAATTAATTAATTTGTACAGGAGGACATAACTTTCCAGGGAAGCTACTTCTCAAGATCTTTGGCCCTTAGAAGCCTCTTTCTAAAAAGCAGAAATGCTGTTTATTGAATGCAGAACTGCAGAGAAAGAAAATGAGTTGCTATTTAACAGATTTTAAAGTTTTTCTTACTTCATTTGTTCATTCATTTATGAATCAGTTCATTCCTTCATCTATATGCCTATTTGTTTATCTATATATTTATCCATTATTTAATTTGTTTATTTGTTTGTTGTTCAGGCCAAGTAGAGAAAGCTGGGTAACTGTATCTATTCTGTGGTTAAGTAGAATGAAGGTTATTTTTAGAGTCAGGCGATTTAGGCCCAGTGTCACTGCCCTGTGATCTTGGGAAAGTCCCTCAATGTCTCTGGGCCTCATTTTATTCATCTGAAAAAGGAAGGGGTGAAACTTGCCTTAGTGGGCCTCTGAGATTCCTTCAAGCTCCACATCTCAGATCTTACAATCTATTCTCCTGGAGAGTCTGCATTTCTCCGGATTTCACAAACTCCTCTCTGCATGCTGTAACTGCTCCTCCTCCTCCTCCTCTGTAATGCTGAGGAATCACCACCACATTCTCACCCTCCCTTCCATGTGTTTTCCCCTCTAGATTCCAAGCTGCTTCCCTCCCCTCCTGATTATCCTTATCATTACAGTAGAACCTTTCCCCATTTCCAGAAGAATCTCATTACATGCCACAGTTGCCCACTTTTCCCGATGCCCTTTCAGCTCTGCTCCTTCTGCTGACCTCCAAGGAGTCACAAGTTTTATCAATAGCCTGCCTCTAAATCACAAGGATTCCTGAAGAGAGATAATCCTATCTGACCTTCCACTACAGAATGCTTTTCTCCTTAATATCAGTAGAGAATGTTCCTCTTTTGACCTTCGCCTGTTTTTGGCTTTTTCATTCCTGCAATGTTTACCGAAGAGTCCCTCTTCCCTTAAGCATCGCCCAACTCCTAAAATGGTGCAGCCATTATCTTTCCAAAGTGGAATAGGTCATTTGGGCAATTCAGCCCTAAAAGACTGGTCTCAAAGGCAGGAAGACATGGGTTCAAATCCTGCCTTTGACACCTAGTGGCTATATGACCGTAGGTAGGTCCCTTAACCTTCTAGGCCTTAGTTTCCTTCTCTGTAAAATGAAACAGGCGTGACTAGATAATCTCTACGATCCCTTCTGATTCTAAGTCCATTATAATCTTGTGATAAGCAAGTCTCCATTTCTCCCCAAGGATGAACACATTGCTGCAGCTTGTCAAATCCAGAAGGAGTATTTCTGGTTATCGGTTGGCTCCTTTTTTTACCATGGCAACGGATATAGAAGGGCTCTGGAAGCTACCTGTGGGGTGCAGAGGAGAGTAGAAAGCTAGTGAAAGGCAGAGAGATCTCTTAGAAGCCAAACGTTGTCCTCCCCAAACTATAACCACCTGCCCCCACAGCCACCCCCAGAATAGAGGCTGTCCTTACAGTGATGGGGGCTCAGAGCTATGTACAGGGAAGATAAAGAAACCACCGCATACCTCCTGATCCCCACACCAAATCATCTGGCTACAGCTGACATATGATTTAGTTGGATATCAAAAGCAACAGTGATTAGGAAGAGGCTGTAGCAATACAGAGAGCTAAGGTGTGTGGGAATTAGACATTGGGAGTAGTTAAAGGATGTTATTTGGTGGTCCAGCCAATATTATAGACTGACGGAGATACAGTCTAGTGAAACACAAAGAACACTGGCCTTTGGATGTGGAGATGGTCACATCCTGGCATTAAACCATATTCCCTATGTGAATAAGGGCAAAAAATTATTCTGAGGTAGCTGATGCTGTGGATAAGGTACATACTTGAAATAGGGAAGACCTGAGTTCAAATCCTGTCATAAACACTTGCCAGCTGTGTGACCCCTGGTAAATCACTTAACCTCTATCAGCCTCAGTTTCCTCACCTGTCAAACAGAGATACTAACAGCATCTACCTCATGGATTTGTTACAAGGCTCAAATGAGATAACACACATGAAGTACTTTGCAAGCCTCAAATGCTAGTCATTATGATAATCATCAGTATTATTATTGCCAATCTCTCAGAGTCTCTGTTTCCTTATCTATAAAACTGGCAGAATAATCTGCCCTCCCAGATCATTGTGAGGGGGAAAGTCTTTAAAACCTAAAAGAGCATGTGCCAGGAATGTGAAGGGAGTAGAGGAATAATGCTGGACTTGGGAATTAGTAGAGAGCCAGACGAGAATCTTTTCTCAGCCAGTAGTGTGGATGTGGTCACTCAAAAGTTATCTGATCACTCAGAGTTTTCAGCTTTCCCATCTATAAAACCAGAGGAAATAATATTCTTAGTTCAGTGACTGGCACATAGTAGGTGCTTAATTAATGCTTATTAATTGACTGATGAATACCCACAGCATCTACCTCAGGAGATGACTAAGGATTGTATGGAATCTGATTGTGAAGGACTCTGCCAGCCATCAAAGTCCACTACTCCCATGTACTTTCAGGGACAGCCCTGGATTCAATCCCTTCCTCTTAACATTTATTGGCTATGTGACTGCAGGCAAGTGGACTTCTTTATTCCTCCCTGGGCTCTGTTACTGACTGACCAGGCTTCTTTCTACACCAGGACCCAGAAGCCTTCTCACCCTGGGTGATCATGTGCCCTCTTTGGTCCCTTCCTCTGATCAGTCAGTTCTTCCTGGACCTTCTCTTCCAAAGGGAGTGTTCAGGCCAGCCATATTTATTCCTTGCATGCCTTCATTTGATACAACCACCCTATAAGACAAGGACAAGTATTCCTGTTCTTATTTTTCAGATAAAGATCTTGAGACTCTAAGATGTTGAGTAACTTGCCCATGGTCACACAACTAATAATCTAGATGAGTTGTGGAATATAAGTGTATCCCACAACTAATAGATGTGAGAAGCTGCATGGAACTTAGGTCTTGGCCCTCTTTCCCAACACGGTATTTTTCCATTGCTTGGTGCTACCTCTACTGATATGGTTGGGATTTCTCAGACTACCTAAACATCATTCACAAAACTCTCAGAAGATAATGGCATGAGGAAGGCCTTTAGAAATCATCTTGTCCAAGGCCTTCATTTTACAAATAAGGAAACTGAGTCGAGAGGGAACCAACGTCCAGGCTACATAGCTAGGAAGGGGGGGAGCTAGGGCTCCAACCCTGGCCTTCTGGCCTCTACTCTTTCTGGAGCAGCCATCACAAGAACCTCTCCTCTAGATATCTTGCATTCAGTGAACATTTTATCTTTAAATTATAATGATACCTTTTGTTTTACATTGCCTTCATTTCTTAATACCGTTCTCACTGTACCTCTCTTTATCAAGCCATCTCTTTTAACAAAGAGAAACTGAGACAGAGAGAAAGGAGGGGAACAGAGACAGACAGAGAGGTAGAGAAAGATAGAGACAGAGAGAAAGAGAGAGAGCTAGACAGTGAGGTAGAGAGACAGACGGACAGATGGACAGATAGGCACAGAAAGTCCATCAAGACTAACCAAGCCAGCTGTCACACCAACATTAGACAGCACATGCAGTACTCCGTAGCCATCATTCCCCATTTCTGCGAAGAAGGAGGAAGAGACATTTCCTTTTCTCTTTAATAAGCATTTAATTAGCACTTATTCTGTGCCAGGTTTTGTGCTTGGGGCTGTGGATGTAGATACCCAAAAGAAGCAGTTCCTGCCCTCACAGAGCTCACACTTTATTGGAAGGAAACAACATGTACACTTCTAACTAAATACAAAGCAGATATAATTGGGGGTGGGGCCACTAGCAATAGAGGGGAATAGGGAAGAGTTTCATGGAAGAAATGTTGAGCTGAGCTTTCATCACAGAGACTCAATACAGATAATCTCATTCTTATTTTCCAGATATGGCAACTGAGGCTCAGAAGGTTGAGTGCCTTAGTGCTTGTCATATCTAAGTACGTGACCTGCTCGAACCCCAGCCTGCTGTAGCCCAGTGGGGTGTCTTCCAGCTCATCCTCTGCATCACCACTCTCTGATGTATCATATTCACTTCTGCTAGAAAGTCTGAGTCAGGGGCTGGAGGAGGGCAGGTAGTTATTTCTGAAAACATGGCCTGAGGACATGGAGCATGGCCTCTGATGATGAGAGACTAAATTCATGTAACCTGGATGAAACTACCCATCCTTTCCTGGTGACATGAGGCTGAGTGCACAAAGGACAAACATGACTTGGCATTAGTGTGGTACTCACTGGCAGACAGGAAAACCCCTAACTGAACTCCACCAGAAATATATCAAATTACAGGGCAGTGAGGTAACTCCAGGCTGACTCATGCCTTTATCAGGCACCTCCTTCACTGGGTACTTTCTCTAGAACTGGTCTTGCAAACACAAGTTTCACAAAGTTATTATATTTAAATGTATTTGGCTGCCAACTGAGACTTTTCAGTTAATCCTCCTTCCTTCTTTCTTTTTCTTTCTCTTTCTTTCTTTCTCTCTTTCTTTTTCTTCTTCTTCTTCTTCTTCTTCTTCTTCTTTCTTCTTATTATTATTATTATTATTATTATTATTATTATTATTTTGGTGGTGAAAGGAATCTATCCAGTCACAACACAAAGCAGAAGGAAAGGAACATGGGCTAGAGCTGGGAGGGTTTCAAAGCTTCCTCATTGCCTTCACCATTTACCCTTCAGTGTAAGGCCTGCTTTCCCCAAGGGCAGAGAACAAGGGGAAAACCAGGCCAGCCTAGAGCCAATCCATTCCTCCTGATTGGTCATAAAGGTAGTAGGCAGACACACAATTAGATGACTAGATGTGAACATCAACCCATCTTAGATAGAGATGGCCTAGAACAGTGAGTAATTGATGACACTTTTTTTTTTTGGTTTTTAGGCAATTGGGGTTAAGTGACTTGCCCAGGGTCACACAGCTAGTAAGTGTCAAGTGTTTGGTCTGAGGCTGGATTTGAACTCAGGTACTCCTGACTTCAGGGCCTGTGCTTTATCCACTGCGCCACCTAGCTGCCCCAATTGATGACACTTCTAACTGGTCTCAGAACCTAACTGGGTTAGCAGGTCTCTTGACCTGCAGAACTTCTAAGAAATGTTTATATACATATTTCCCCCCTGATTGAATGTAAATTCTTTGAGGGTAGGGACGATTTCATTTTTGTCTTTGTAGCACCTCAAATGATGCCTGGTACATGGTAGGTGTTTAATAAATGCTTCACTGATTCACTGGGAAGCCTAGAAGGGAAGGAGGTTCCGTGGCTTTGAAAACCCTTTATAATCTGTCCCCTTCCCTTTCTAGTATTCTTATACTTCATACACTCTGTGATCCAGTGATGAGAGCCTCCTTGCTGTTCCTTAAACACCACACTTCTCCATACTCTGAGTATTTTCACTCACTGTCCCCCATACCTGCAATTCTCTCTCCCCATCGCCACCTCCTGGTTTCTCTGACTTCCTTTAAGTTTTAGCTGAAGTCCCATCTTCTGCAATGAGCCTTTCCCAGTCCTCCTTCATCTTATTGCTCTCCTTCTGGAATTCTCTCCAATTTATCTTCTGTATCTATATGTATTTTTGTATGTATGTCTTATTTGTACAGAGTTGTTGTATGGCATTTCCCCTTAGTCTGTACACATCTTGAGGGTAGGGACTGTTTTGTGCCTTTCTTTATCCCCTTAGCACAGTGCCTGGCACATAGTAGGTACTTAATAATTGCTTATTGACCTGACTTGACTCAAGTTCTGATGTTCCCAGAAAGTAGCTGTGGGGGAGTATTCAGACAAACAATCTAGGAGTCACAATGTCCATGTCTAAGAAATCTTTGCCTTGTCTTCTTTCTCAGGGAAATGGCAGAAACAAGGTGGGCATTGTTCTAACCGTGGAAAACAATAACAACTCATTTCAGGTGTCCTGGGCTCTGTGACTATCACCGCCTCTCCTATTGTGACATCCCTGTCTGCTACTTGACAGGCTTCCTGATAGCCTGCAAATCAAATACCAACTCGGACATTGCATGACCTCCACAACCCACCTTCCCAGCCCTGTCCCATCATTCCAATTCCATCACCCTCCTTCACATACTCTACTCCACACACCCCAGGAGCGGCAGTGGTCTCTAGAGGATAGGACATAGGAGTTGGGAGTCAGAAAGACTTGGATTCAAATTCTGTCTCCAACTCTTGGACCCTGACCCTCAGTGGTCAGAAACAAGTCATAACTTCTTCCATCCTCAGGGAATTCATCTGTGACATGGACAGAGTAATGCCTCTAGAAGCTACTTCACAAGGTTGTTGCCCTGCTCTAAGGTGACAGAGAAGTGCTCCTTGGAAAGCCATGGGAAATGGTGTTAGTTTGAATCCCAATTTTACCACTTACTACAAGTGAACTTGGTTAAGTCCCTTACCTTCTCTGGGCTTCAATGATGTCACCTGCAAGATAAAGGAGGTGAATTATAAAAGAAAAAATAATTTTCAAAGCCTTTAGAACTCCAGTCAATGTAATGGCCAGTCAGAGTGCCAGGATGAATCTTGTTACCCACACCCTGACAGAGAGGTGATAGACTTAGGGTGCAAAATAAGACATGTATTATTGGAGCTGGCCAATGAGGAAATCTGCTAGATTACACATATTTATTATGAGAGTTTTACCTCTTTTTTTCTTTTTGTTTGGTGGGCAGAGTGAGAGGGAGAGAAAAGAAATGTTTGTTAATTGAAAAAAAAACAAACAGTCCCTGCTCTCAAGAAATTCACACTATAACAAGGAAGACAACACAAAACCAATTGTGTATAATATACACAGTACAAGATGTACAGTACAGGATAAATAGGGGGTCATCTCAGAGGAAAGGGATTCAAATTGAGGAGATCTGGAAAAGGCTTATCATAGAAAGGGGGATGTTAACTGAGATATCAAGAAAGCTGGGGAAGTGAGGAGGCAGAGATGAGGAGGTCCCAGACATGCAAGGAAAATGCTTCCAGTAAGGGGGAGTAAGGTATTCAAGGACAGTGAAAAGGCCATTATCAGTGGATCTCAGGTTATGTGCAGGTGAGAAAGATGGAAGAAGACTAGCTGTGCGACTCTGGGCAAGTCACTTAACCCCATTGCCTAGCCAAAAAAAAAAAAAAGAAAGAGGAAAGAAGATTGCCAGATGTGAAGAAGCTGGGGCATGAAGGACACTAAAAGCCAAACAGGGGACTTGATATTTGATCCTGGAGTTGATAGAGAGCCAGTGAAGTTTACTGAAGGGGGGGGAGGGGATAGTTTTATGGTCAGACCCGGGCTTTAGGTGATCAATTTGACAGCCTGGTGGAAGAGGGACCAGAGAGGGGAGAGCCTGGAGGCAAGGAGCCAAACAAGGAAGCTAGTACAATGGTTCAGGTGTGAGATGAAGAAGCCTGTATGAGGATGGTGGCAGCATCAGAGGAGAAAAAGAAGCATAAAGGAGACATGTTAGGAATGTAAAGTGACTGGGCTTAGCCCCAGATTAGATATGGTGGGGGAGGAGGGGTAGAGTGTGGAGTCCAAGGTGACACTGGGTTCAGAGCCCAGCTGATATGATGGGATCTTCTAGATAACACAGATTGCTATTGCTTTGGGGCATATGACACTACTTCACAAACACATCTCTCTTGGTACTTCCTGCCTCCTTATCTAACATCATAAACTATACCCAGAAGACCTGCCTTGCTCTTCCCCCAAATGTGGCTTTTGAAAAGATCCCCCTGAAATGCCTCTGATTCCTGCCTTCTTAAGAAGGTACCATTCGGACCTGCGATTTCCAAGAGCATTTTATTGGTACATTCCTAATGCCCTCATTTTCTTACATCTTCTGTTATTATCTGCAACTAAGTTAGGTACCCTCAAGGGCAGGGACTGAGCTGTATTTATCTTTGTGTCTCTCCTGGGTCCTAGCACAGTGGCCTAGGCTATATGTTTGCTGTCATTGTTATTACTAAAATAGCACCTAACAAAACCCCTTATTCACATTGGAGATTGATTCATCAGCATTTTGTGATGACATTTGCCTTGGGTTCCTTCTAGCTTCTCCCTGTTCCCCTTTTCTAAGTATATTAATGTAAACCATTCTATGAGAGCAGCAATGTGATCCCCCCCCCAACCTCCAATCCCTTCCTTGTCCCAGTCCTATTGAAGTGTCACATTAGGACTAATTGAAGAATTCATTTGTTTATATAATCCCCTGCTCCAGAGAGTAGCCACGTGCAAAAAAGATTCTTCACGTGAGTAGGCCACATGAGAGCGGGAAAAGTACTACAATGAGAATTAGAAAATATTCTAGTTTTCTAATCTAACCTAAACTCTACCTTTAATCTAAATCTCAGGTTCTCCACCAGAGTTCTTGGTTGGCCCTGCTAGTGGCTCCTGTATGGCACTGGGGAAGTTGCTCAATTTCTTTGGTTTCAATTCCTTTGTCAATTTCTCCACTGTTGATTTCCTTGCTTATAGTCTACCTTGAAGTGGGCTAGAAGATCATGAGTAACCATACAACATGACGGAAAGAGAACTGGACTTGCTATTGCCAACACCGTGGCTGGAATTCAACCTCTGACACCTACCAGCTCTTCGGCCCTCAATAATTCTGGGCCTCAGTTTGCTATGGAATATTCCGGTTTGCTGGAATATGAGAAGCAGCGTGTCATAATGAATAGCACTGGTCTTGGAGTCCAGAAGATCTGGGTTCAGGGCCTACCTCTGACCTACTATGATGACCCCAGACAAGTCCCTTAGGCTTTCCATACCCCTCTGTAACTTCCCTTAACCGTAAGTTGTGAGAAGATCCCAGGAAGGAAGGAAATAAGCATTTATTAAGCACCTACTACATGTCAGGCGCTGTGCTAAACACCTTTACAAAGATTATCACATCTGTTCTGCACAACCACCCTGGGAAGTAGGTGCTATTATCCCCGTTTTATAGTCGAGATAACTGAGGTAGACAGACAAGTTAAGTGACTTGCCCAGGTTCACACTGCTATTAAGTGTTTAGGTCAAATTTGAACTTGGGTCCTCCTGACCCCAAGTCCATCGCTCTAACTATCTAACCACTGCATCACCTAGCTGCCTCATTATAACCAATGAGCTAATTGGGGAACTCTTCCCTCCTTCCAATTCAACACAACAACCCCATCTGGGCATATAGGAGAAGACCTTTCTCTTCCAATTTTCCAGTCAATGTCTCCTACCCGTTCCTCATGCTAGATGCTGCCATCCCCCCACCCCCAACTCCTCTGTCCCTAACCCAGCACTGGGGAACTCTGGTTCCCTGTTCTTTGTACACTCTAAAGCCCATTATCCCTCTTTCTGGTTATGGCAGATGAGGACCCTCTCTGTCCTCCAGACCTCTCCCACCTCCCACTGCCATTTGACCTGCCCATGGACTCTTCCAGTTTCTGGATCTCCCCATCCACCCTCTTCTGTGTGGCATCTCCCACATTTAAAGCACGAGCTCCTTGGGAACAGGGATCACCTCCTTTGTGCTCCCAATCCTTAGCCAGGGCTTGCTGCGTAGTAAGCCTTTATTTATTTATTTATTCTTTTCCATTTACTTTTTTATTCAGACGCCTCTCAGCATTGGTAGTGGCGTTTCCTATGACAATGAAATCACGGATCTGGACTTGAACCCAGGTCTTCTGACCCCAGATCCACCATTCTTTTCACTTGGTATCCTCAACATTCAGCACGGTGCCTGGCACACAGCAGCTGCTTTGAAATGCTCATTAACTTGATGACTTCATTTCTGTCTTCATTTTCGTGAAGCAGGGCCATTTCCTCACATAAAGAAATCATTCTATTTTACCTGTTTTAAGTAATTTCTGCTGTTCAGTTTTCTGCTTTCTTAAAAGTCAGGCAGACATTTATTTGAAAGAGGTCAATGGTGCAAGATAGGTTTGGAAATCTCATTTAATATTCCTGTATAGCACTGCCTGGCAAACAAGTCTAGCTCAAGCATTTTCTTCCTTCTACCCCTTCCCCCCATTCAGATAACAGGGACCTATACCAAATCAGCTCTTCCCTTCTTCCTGAATGGGGTGTGTCCATCTAATCCCCTTATTGCTCTACTAAACATCCCAGAAACTTTCTGGATCAAAATTCTCCTTTTGTTTTACGACTCTCCTATGTGTGGTGCTGTTCAGTCGTTTTGGACAATGTGGGACCCCTTTGGGGATTTTCTTGGCAGACACTGGAGTGGTTTGCTATTTCCTTCTCCTGCTCATCTTGAAGATGAGGAAGTGTAGCATTCCCCAAATTAGAATACAAACTCCTGGAGGGCAGTGATTGTTGATGTGTTTGTACTCCAGGTCTTAATAGGTACAAGATAACAGTGTTTTCATCCATTTATCAGGCACAAGATAGTGAAACTCAAACACTAAATAAAGGTACTTCTGGTTGGTCTCCCAGATTCAAGTCTCTCCCTAGTCTGACCCATCCTGTACTCAGTTCTCAATGGATCCTCCTTAAGCTCAAATTTGACCAGGTGTTGCCAGTCCCATTCAGTAAAAGTCAGTGGCTCCTCAAGTCTTCTGGTTTTCAAAACTTTTCACGAACTCTTTCCAATCTTGCCATACTCCACTCACTCCCATACTGCTGCCTAGTGACAAAGGCTCCCTTTCTTTCAGACACTTCATTTCCAGTCCTAGGGGCATTTTCACAGGCCTGGAATGTTCTTCCCCCTTCAATCCGACCTCCTGACTTCCCCCACTTCTTTCAGTCTCAGCTAAACTCCCCTCCCACAACCAGTCTTTCCCCACACCCCTAAATGCTAATGACTTCTTTGTGTAAGTCATCTGCGTGGCTTCCTGTGAATACCTAGAAAAAAGGGAAGGTTTGGGGCCTTTCTTTGTATCCCTAGATCTCAGCGCAATGACATAGTAGGAGCTTAACTGATTGATTAAATTTGAAGTCAGACCTCTTAATTCTGTTAATGTCATATTTACTACTTCAGCCGATTTCTTTGGCTTGCTACAAACCGTTGCACCCACCTTCATTAGTGCCCAGTGGCCTCAACAGCCAGGCTTCCAAGTATGATGAGTCAATTAGTCAGTGAATAAACACGGGGTCATGAAGAGTCAGATGTGACTGAAAAAGATCTGAAAGAGAAAAAGGCTGAGCTCCTACTATGCGCCAGGACCCTGTGCTAAGCTAATGAGGCCATACATGATTTCTAACGTTCCTTCAGCTCAAAATCCTGTCATCCAGTTATCCTTTCACATTTTTAAATGGCTTTAATGCTAAATGCTTGTAAGGTATGAAGGAAAGCTCGGAGTATAAACCATGGTAATAGAGTTTCATAGAGTTGGAACCAGAAGGTACAGCACATTGCATATAACCCTTGCATTCGACATTTGAGGAAACCATGGGTAAGGGACATTAAGTGACTTTTCAAAGATCAGACAGCCTCAATATCAGATGTGGG